CTTATAGTGAGGACTCAGGAAGCTTACAACAATCACGGTGAAGGGGGAGCAGGCATGTCACAGGAGAGTGGAAGAAAGAGAAACAGAGAAGGGGGTCTCAGACTCTTTTTAACAATCAGATCTCCCATGAACTAATTATGGCAGGCAGGGCACCAAGCCATTCATGAAGGATCTGCCCCCACAGACCAAACACCTACCCCTAGGCCCCACCTCCAACCCTGGGTGTCACATTTCAACATGAAATTTGGAGGAGACAACATCTAAACCAAATCAAATATTTATAGGAAGACCTATACATATTTATGAAGAGGGTCCTACTGCATGTGTATTGAATAAACATAAATGTTATATGTATTTTATGTTTACTTTGGAGGTACAGACTTACAATTACAATGTAATTGTATTACAATTAGGCCCTATATGTCAAAAGGTGAAACAGGGACACAAAGGCACTCAAGTGGGCAGCTTCTGTAAAACAAGCCAGAACAAGTCCATGGTCAGTGGTCTCTTGTCAGGAGAAAGTTATAGAAATCAGTCTCTTGTCCAATTAAAGCTATAGTTATGGCTTGTGCCTGCGGTCCCCAACTTGGCATTAGGGACTGGTTTCATGGAAGACAATTTTTCAACAGACTGGGGTGGGGAGGGGGTGGTTTGGAGATGATTCAAGTGCATCACACTTATTGTGCACTCTATTTCTATTATTATTACACTGCAATATATGAGAATCTAATGCCACCACTGATCTGACAGGAAGCAGAACTCAGGTGGTAATACCAGTGGTGGGGAGCAGTTATAAATACAGATGAGGCTTCACTTGCTTGCCTGCCACTCACCTCCTGCTATGTGGCTTGGTCCTTAACTGGTCACAGACCAGTACCAGTACTGGTCCGTGGTCTGGGGGTTGGGGACCTCTGGCTTGTCTGGTGGTTGGTGAGCTGTAATTGTTTTAATGCTGCTTATCTCAAGGTCAGTGTTTGTTTAGCTGTTAGAGAAAAAGGAAAGGGAACCCTTTGTGGTAATTAGAACAATGTCTATTTTTTAAGTGTAGGGGTGCTGACTTAACCCTCAGGTCCTTTTCATAATTTGGTGTTTTATTGCCACAAAGAGTCTGTTTTGTCAATCTTATGACCTCGATTACAACATAAATGGTCAGTTGTTGGGTCTCATTAGCAAAAGGAGGGGGTATAATAAGGCGTGTCCAACCTCCCATCCCATCATGGCCAAGAATTCAGTTTTTAAGGTTTCTCTGAGATCCTCTTGGCCAACAAGGGATTTGTTTAGTCATCTGTTGGGAGGTGGGGACTTAGGGTTTAGGTGAATTCTCAACTGAAAACTATTAAAACATTGCTGGCCAGGCTTGGTGGCTCAGTCTATAATACCACGCTTTGGGAGGCTGAGGTGAGTGGACTGCCTGAGCCTATGGGTTCGAGACCCGCCTGGGCAACTTCGTGAGACCTCATCTCTACAATAAATCAAAAAAACTAGCCGGGCGTGGTAGCGTGCGCCTGTAGTTCCAGCTACTTGAAAGTCTGAGGCGGAAAGATAGCCGGAGCCCAGCAGGTCAAGGCTCCCGGCCACTGCACTCCAGTCTGGGTGACACAGTGAGACTCTAACTCAAAAAAAAAAAAAAAAAATTGCTGAATGAAATTAAAGAAGACCTAAATAAATGGAAAGACATCTGGGCTCATGGATTGCAAAATTTAATATTGTTGAGACAGCAATATTACCCAAAGCAATCTACAGATTCTATGCAACTTCTATCTAAATTCCAGCGACTTTTTGGGGGGCAGAGATGAAAGAATTTATCCTCAATTCATATGGAATTGAAAGGAGCCCTTAATAGTAAAAAAATAATACTAAAAAGGAAGAATAAAGTTGGAGAACTCACACTTCCTGACATTGAAACTTCCTACAAACTTACTGTGATCAAACGATATGATACTGACATAAGGATAGGGCAAAGGAATAGAGCTGAGAGACCAGAAGTAAATTCTCACATATATAGTCAACTGATTTTTGACAAGATACTTGTATCATCACTTCTCCCCACTTCAGTGAGGTTGTTTCCTACAGTTGTCAAACTATTCGACTGTCTTTGTCACATTCTACATCTCTTCCTTAGATTCTACCAACATTCTACATAATTTTTCTGCTAATTTGTATACATTAAGCTTCACTCTTAATGCTGTCACACTCTATGGGTTTTGACAAACGCATAGTGTCATGTATCCACCAAGCAGTATCATTCAAAATATTTTCACTACCCTAAGAAAAGCCCTGTACTCCACCTATTCAATCCTCCCTCTCCCACCCCCACCAACTCCCTAGAAATTGTGGACTCTTTTATTGTCTCTACAGATTTCCTTCTCCAGAACATTATCAAATTGAAATAACAAAATGTGTAGCTTTTGCAGACTGGCTTCTCTCACTTAGCAACTTGCATTTAGGATTCATCTATGTCTTTTCATGTTTTGATAGCTCATTTCTTTTCACTGCTGAAACTATTCCATTGCATGGATGTACCAGTGTGTTTAATCCATTCACCTACTGAAAGAAATTTTGGTTCCCTCTAATTGCTAGTGATTATGAATAAAGCTGCTATAAGCATGCAAGTGCCGTTTTTGTGTGAATATTTGGTATTCACATCACTTGGGTAAAATATCCAGAAGCGCTATTGCTCAATCATATGATAAGACCACATCTAGCTTTGTAAAAAACTGCCAAACTGTCTTCCAAAGTGGCTGTACCACTATTAGACATTTTAAAAAATAAAATATTTAAAGTAATAACAACTTCAAGCAGTTAGTACTGTCCCCATTTTACAACTGAAGAAGACAGGTACATCGAGGTAAAGTGGCTTGTCCAAGGTCTGGAGTAAACTGAGTGTGTCTGCCTGCAGAGAATGGGTTCTCACTTCAATGCTGAGGGAGGTTTGGTACTACACCAAGCATTCTGCAGGTGGGCAGCTCTAACAGTTAAAACCTCTTCCCTTTATGGAACTGAAATCTGCCTGGCATTGTCCTGGAGTCACACAGCAGTCTCAAGAGAGGAGGCAGAGAAGTGTTGCACGTCTGGGCCTGTCCACCTTTCATTAGGAAGCAGAGAGTGAGTTCAGCAGAGGACGTGAGCCAGGCTGCCTTGGTGAGAATCCATTCGGTACTACTTAGCAGCTGAGTGACCTTGGACGAGTGCCTTCACTTCCCTGAGCCTCAGTTTCCTCCCTTGTAAAATGTGGTACCTGGATGACCTCTATTTTGAGCTCCAGACTGCTTTCCTGCATACCTCCACCGGTCTTCCACAGACCCCTCAACATTAATGTGAGCAAAATGGGGTTCACCTTCTTTCCACAAACATCGACCCTCCTGGGAAGAACCAGTCATACGATTTGAGCAAAAGTGAAATGAGTGCAGGGCCCTGGGCAACCGCCTTCATAAGGCAGCCCCTGCAGACTCTCCTGTCCATTTCTCCTCTCGCTCAGTCACAGCCTCCACGCTCCAGTCTTAAGGGACTTCTCACAGTTCTCTGAATCCCCGACATTTCTTGATCTGGCCTAGGTGGTCTCTTGTCTCCCTCTTGGCCAGCTCCACTCCTTTTGTCAGGCCCTTTCTGAAACACTCTCCTGGGTTTTCTGCTATGAACACCACATGTCCCTGGTTTTCTTCACAACTCTCTAGCAAGTTCCTTCAGTCTTTGCCAGCTCACCCTCCAGTACTTGATTTCCATTTCTTTTTTTCTTTGTCTTTACTTTTTTTTTGGACAGTATCTCACTCTGTTGCCCAGGCTAGAGTGTAGTAGCAATCATAACTCACCCTAGTCTCGACCTCCTGGGCTCAGATGATTCTTCCACCACCTAGTAGCTGGGATTAGTAGCTGGGACAATAGGTGTGCCACCATGCCCAGCTAATTTAAAAATTTTTTTTTAGAGACAAAGCCTTGTTATGTTGCCCAGGCTGATCTCCTGAGTGCAAGCAATCCTCCTGCCTCAGTCTCCAAAAGTGCTGGGATTACAGGCGTGAGCCAGTGTGCCTGGCCCCATTTCATTTTTAGTTGTGGAATTGCTAGGTTTTTATCTTCTTTAAACTTTAAAGTACATAATAAAATTCACATTATTCAAAACAAGTAATTATTAGTGCTTAACATCTGTCTCTACCTCCACAGGGTGAGTTCTATGACCATGACCTTGGGCCAGGTCATATTCACAAGGACCTGAAAAGTAAACTTTCGAGGTCATCTCCAAATGGAGTTTGGAGGCCCGAAGAAACAAAACAAAACTTAAAATTGCTTCTGCTTCCCAGACCACACCACAAAATCCTGGAATTATCCCTTGAGGAACACAATACGGAATTTAGTGCATAGATGAAAATCTGGAATGTGTTACGCGTGCATTTAATATATACCACGAGTTCTGTAACTCTGCTTGGCTTTTCATCATTTTTCAAAACACTGTTCAGAAAATGTTAAGTTGCCCCTTGGTTCTCTCTACCTCCGCGAGGAAAAATGTCTGCCTTTGTTCTTTTTTTATTCCCAGATGAGTGATTGAACCCAAAAGAACCTGGGATCATGGGAAATCGAGAGCACCCTCACCAGGCAGGAGCCCACCATGGACGCTTCTCGGTTGTGCCAGCCGCGCCAGCCACGTTCCGACGGCGCCTAGCAACTGCTACTGTGACAACGCAACCTTGTCACGCAACACTAAGGCGCCCCTCTGCATCCCAGAAGGCACTGCGTTGTCTCTAAGCCTTCCGCCCCGCTCCGTCCCAACATACAACGGGGCCATAGTGTCACGCTATCGTCATCAGAGCAATTACAAAGGTGCCTGTATATCCTCGTTCGCTTAAACTTTTAAACTGTCTGTAACAGATTGGTGGGCGCGAAAGAGCTCCAAATAATGGTCTGAGCTATTTTCCTCAGGCAGCATTGTTGCTAATCTCGAGAAGGAAATCCTATCTTTCCCTGGATTTGCACAGGCATCTTATTGGACAACCCGTGCAAACTGGAGACGTGGGGGTCCTCGGAGGCAGGCCACGTGCGGGAGGAAGTAGCGCTGTCTGTCCGCGCGGCGTTGGTAGGCCCCTCAACGTGGAGCCATGGGAGGCCTTGAGAAGAGGAAGGTGAGTGGGAGAGATACCTCGGGTTTCCCGGGGTTGGGAGGCCGTGGCGGCAGATCGTAGGGTCTATTCTTTTCCCGGCCTCGGCCCCTCTGGGGAACAGGACAGCAGCGAGAACGGGTCCGAGGATGGGCGAGAATGGCAGTATTCGTCCGGTGAAATCCGGGAAAGAACTGTAAGAGAGTTGAGCTTACCAAATGTAGCTTCATCCCAGAAGCAGGTCGAGCCGTGGGACGACTGTTTACTGAGAGGGTGATAAACATTACGTAAAGTTCGCCAGTGCTGCGTCTTCATCTTACTTAGTGTTGTCTTGAAAGTTTTCGAGGCATAGCATTTCAGCTTGAATCGGAAAGATCAGAACATCTTGGATGGGTGCTGGAGCATGGGAGTGCTTAGCGAGCTAGCCTGACGGGAAACTAAGTGCCAAGGAAGCAGGAAAGGCTTGCTGTGTGCGAGGAAATAGACGTCAGGATTACTGGGATGTAATATATCAAGGGAAGAATGGCATCAGATGAGGTTGGGGTTGAGGTTGTGTAAGGGCTGTAAGTCATGGTGTGGAGCTTGGGTTTTATTCGAAGTGCAGTAGGACTCTACTAAAGGGAGAGTAACATGATCAGGATTTTTCAGATCTTATTGTCATATGGAGAATCACCTTGGTGGCATGAAAAGACTGGGGAGAGGATAGGTATGAGAATGATACAGTTGGCTCAAGTGTTTGTTTCAGCTTGAAAGTTTCTATTGCCACTTTGCTTTTTACCCAGTATCCAGTAAGCGCTAGCCATTGGAACAACAAAGATGAGATGGAAAACCTGCCCTTGAGGTGCAGCTCTGGATATGTGAATAAACCATTACAATTTTTTAAAGTTGGGTTTTGGAGCCATTTGGGACCAGATACATTTTTTTGTTGTGGGAAGAGCTGCCTTGTGCATTGTAGGATGGTTAGCAGTATCCTTGACACCCTACCTACTAGATGCCAGTAGCGCCCAACAATCAACAGTGCCTCCAGATATTGCTGAATTCTCCTGCTCCCTCTCCCCACACACCCAGGGAGTTAAATAACCCTCTTGAGAATCACTTATCCCCCTTAACATTTAAAAGGCATGGGCCATATCCCCAGCAGACTTACAGAATGCCTGAAGGAAAGAATGAATGGTGTGTTTCACGACTGTGGAGTTATTCATAAACATATCTCTCAGCAGACCACAGGTTTGTCTCTTCAGACTTGGACCTAGGCACAGAGACCCTGCTGTCTTACTCCAGAGGAAGATCTCGTTTGGAAAGGACATGCTTGGTTATCATTGCAGGGTGTTTGGTACAGTGCACTGCTAGTCTCTATCGGGAATACAGAGATGTGGGTGTGAGGCAGCATCTTAGACCACAGGCATCCTGATGGTTACGTAAGACAATTTGCTTTCTTGGAGGCAGGTGGAAACTAGGCCTTTTGTCTTCATTGCCCTCATAGCATCTAACTTAGTGCTTTGAACATGGTAAAGGACCTGTTCTTGTCTGTTAAATGAATGAATGGAGAAGGAGAGAAGCTGTGGACATATTACATAAACAGATCTACAGTATATCTGTGATACTAGCATTTCATGGAGCTATGGGGAAGAAAGAGTGATTGGCAGAAGGTGGGGGGTGTCAAAGTCTTCTGCTGGTGGTGAGGAGGTTATAATGAAGAAGGGGAAAAAAGAGTGAAAACACTGGCTTAGCTGTTGGGCACTCAGGCTCTGGACACAGTCCTGGGTTTGAGTCCCAACCAGTTCTTAGGAAGCTGTGTAATTTGGGCAGGTTATTTCACTGAACCTGATCCTCCAGTGTAGATTAGGTTTTAATGGCACGCACATCACAGGGTTATGAGGATTAAATGAAATAATATGTGGAAATCACTCATTGTAATGGCCAATATTTAGAGCTAGTACTAAGTGCTTGGCCCAGCTCTCCTGTCCATAGCACCTCACAGTCCACAGCTTCCTTACACTGACAACTGCAAGGACAGTGTGGGAGAGCTCATTCAGGTAGGTCAATGCCCTCCCTACAGCATTGCCCATCACCGAAGCCCCTTCTCCAGAGTGATAATTGCTTTTGGAATTAGGCATGCCCAGAATTTAATGTCAGTCACTGCAATCATTGCTAATGGAGAATTATTTTTTCACCTTTCCAAGTATGAACGAGGCTCTGCCACCAATTACATCACCCGAAACAAAGCCCGGAAGAAGCTGCAACTGAGTCTGGCTGACTTTAGGTGAGGCTGGAAAGGAATGGAACATAGGGGTGCCTTGGGGAGCCTGGGCAGTCAGTTGCACAGCGAAAACTCAGCTGCATCCCTGTCCCATTGGAGTTATCCTGTCTGGAATTCTGGTTTTCCTTCTCTTGTCTCACTTACTCTTGCTTTAGTGAGCTGTGCTTTGCCAGGTGTGGCCTGAGGGGAAGCTGGAGGAAAACTGGGTCATCGGGATGGGCAGCTGGCTTGGGCTGGGTCTTTGTTATCCATCCCCTCCCTTCTGGCAGAAGAGACCCCTGATCCTACGGCTGAGTGTTCTTATTCTTCATGGAGTCAAATCCAGACTTCTCTATACTCTTGGGCCCTGCCATCTGGTCATCCCTGACCTCCACTACTCACGTGGCCCTTTTATTCCTACAAACACACCCAGCTCTTGCCAGCGTTATGGCCTTTGTCTCTCAGGTTGCTCTTCCCTCTACCTTTTTTATGACTGAAATGTTGGTTTCTCAGCATGGCCTTTCCATCTCCCCTAGCTGTAAAGGGTACCCTCCTGTTGGCTCTTATCAGTATCATGTTTATGTTTCTGGTGCTGGTGATAGTCTGCATTTTTGTGTTTCTCAGGGAGCTTGTGATCATGACTCCCATAGTAGAATGTGAGCTCTCTAAGAGTGAGAGCCCCATGTTCACTGGTCACTGTTGTTTTCCAGACCTGGTTGTAGCCAGTGCTTCACACCTTTACTGACATAACAAGTGGCTTCTGTCTTCCAGGCGGCTGTGTATCCTGAAGGGCATTTATCCCCATGAGCCCAAACACAAGAAGAAGGTTAACAAGGGCTCCACAGCACCTCGAACTTTTTATCTTATCAAAGACATCAAGTTTCTCCTCCATGAACCCATTGTCAACAAGTTCCGGGAGTACAAGGTGAGGCCTGGTCTCTAGTGTCTGATAGGTCCCCTTCACACTGATTCTCACTGACTATGACCTTGGTCAGGTTGCTTACCCTCTCTGAGCAGGCCTGCAAAGGGCAGGTATAGTAATTCTATTCAAAGGGTAGATATCATGAGGAGTAACTGCCTTGTTTTTTCACACTAAACTATATTACACTTTGCAGATTTTGTCTTGTACAAATTCACAATTTGTGACAGCCCTGCCCCCAGTAAGTCTGTTGGTATTATTTTTTCCTTCTTTTTTTTTTTTTTTTTGGAGTTGGAGTCTCACTCTGTTGCCCAGGCTGGAATGCAGTGGCATACTCACGGCTACCCCAGCCTCGACCTGCTAGTTTCCACGGCCTGCTGGGCTCCACAGCAATCCTTCTGCCTCAGCCTTCCAAGTAACCAGAACTACCACGCCTGGCTAATTTTTTATTTATTGTAGGTCTTGCTAAGTTGCCCAGGCTGGTCTCAAACCCGTTGGCTCAGGCAATCCACTTGCCTTGGCCTCCCAAAGTGCTGGGATTATAAGCTGAGCCACCGAGCCAGCCTACATTTTGGTAATTCTCCCAGTATTTCAAACTTTTTTTTTATTATTACATCTGTTATGGTGATCAGTGGTCTTTGATGTTACTATTGTAATTGTTTTGGGATGCCATGAAGTGTGCCCATATAAGATGGCAAACTTAATTCATAAATACTGTGTGTGTTCTGACTGCTCTACTCACCTGCTCTTCCCCATCTCTCTTGTTAGGCCTTCCTATTGCCTCAAACACAACTATATTGAGATTAGGCCAGTTAACCCTACAATGACCTCTGCATATTCAGGTGAAAGGAAGAGTCACATGTCTCATTTTAAGTAAAAAGCTAGACATGATTAAGCTTAGTGAGGAAGGCATGTCAAAAGCCAAGACAGGCAGAAAGCTCAGCCTCTTGCACCAAACAACCCAGTTGTAAATGCAAGGGAAAAGTTTGTGAAGGAAATTTAAAAGTACAAATCTAGTGAATATGTGAATGATAAGAAAAAGAAACAGCCTTATTGCTGATGTGGCGACAGTTTTAATGGTCCCAATAGACGATCAATCCAGCCAGACATTCCTGTAAGCCAAAGCCTCATCCAGGGCAAGGCCCTCTCTTCAATTCTGTGAAGACTGAGAGAGGTGAGGAAGCTGCAGAAGGAAAGCTGAAGTTGGAGGCTGGCAGAGGTTGGTTCATGTGGTTTAAGGAAAGAATCTGTCTCCATAGCATAAAAGTGCAAGGTAAAGCAGCAAGTGCTGATGCAGAAGCTGCAGCAAGTTGTCCAGAAGACCTAACTAAGATAATTGATGAAGGTGGCTACATTAAGCAGCAGATTTTCAGTGTAGATGAAACAGTCTTCTGTTAGAAAAGATGCCACCTAGGACTCTATCTGTAGCTAGAGAGGATAAGTTAGTATCTGGCTCCAAACCTTCAAAGGACAGACTGAGTCTCTTATTAGAGGCTAATGCAGGTGAGGACTAAGTTGAAGACAGTGCTCAATTCCCATTCTGAAAATCCTAGGGCTCTTAAGAATTATACTAAATCTACTCTGCCTGTGTTCTGTAAATGGAACAACAAAACCTGGATGACAGCTCATCTGTTTATAGCATGGTTTACTAAATACTTTAAGCCTGCTATTGAGACCTACTAAGAAAAAAAAAGATTCCTCTCTCAGCTTTTGACATGCCTTCCTCATGAAGCTTGATTTTTTTTAGACATAATGCTGTTGCACACTTAACAGACTACAGTATAGTGTCAACATGATTTTTTTTTTTTTTTTTGAGTCAGAGTCTCACTCTATTGCCCAGGCTGGGGTGCAGTGGCACACTCACAGCCACCCCAGCATCAACCTGCTGGGCTCAGGTGATCCTTCCACCTCAGCCTTCCAAATAGCCAGAACTACAGGTGCGTGCTACCATACCCAGTTAATTTTTTGATTTGTTGTAGAGACATGGTCTCACTAAGTTGCCTGGGCTGGTCTCGGATCCCCAGGTTCAGGCAATCCTCTTGCCTTGGCCTCCCAAAGTTCTGGGATTACAGACTTGAGCCACCGTACCCGGTCAACATAATTTTTTATATGCACTGGAAAATCAAAAAATGAGTGTGACTTGCTCTGTTGCAATATTGGCTTTATTGCAGAGGTCGGGAACTACACCTGCAGTATCTCTGAGTTAGACCTTTATATGGAAATTATTTGCATGGAACCTGGCAGAGCATTAATGCTTTACCTGTTAAACATTTTCCCTGATTCTTTCTGAAAAGATTAAAATTTTGGCTCCTGAGTTAAAAGGCTTTTTGGTGTGTTCTCTGCCCAAAGAAACAGCTTCCATTTTAATTCTGTCTGAGATTGCCCCTAGGAGACCGAGCGTTTCATTCCACAAGTAGAAATCATTAAATGCTCAAATAACAGGAAAAGCAGAAACTTGTTTATACCAAATGCGGTAATTAAAAGACTAACTGAAAGTAGCCTTTAATGTAGAGCAGTGCCCCACTGTCCTTAGCCAGGAGGAGTAGAGTGCCACCTGGTGGCCCACAGGGAACTGGGCAGCAGCTGTGGCTGGGCCCATTTTGCTGCTGGATTTTGCAGCTACATAAACTCACACTGTTGGAGGTGGGCTCGTGGTGGGAGATGCTTGTCTCCTAGCAGCTGTTCATAATCCCAGCAGAGGCAGCCTTTGAGGAGCACTGAGGGTGGGCCTGAACAGAAGGACTCAGTTAGTTTGGAGGACCTGGCTCCACAACTGGCCTCAGCATTTTTCTGGATCACTCAATACCCCACACAGACCCATAGCCTGTTTCATGCCTATGCAGTAATGAAAACCAGCCCTACCCACGCTGACCTGCCTCAGTGGCAGGTCATTTGGGCTGTCTTCTCAGGTGAAAAATGGGGCTGCTATGCCTTGCCTTCCTCCCAGGTAAACATGTAGAGTCAGCACATCTGTGCATCATCAAAAGGGGTGTCCTGATCTAGCTCTGCTTGTTAGCATAGGTCACACTTGGCGCTCCTTGTAGTTGCCTGTTTTGCAAATCCTGGGCTGAGGGGGTTGATCGCACAGGCAAACAGCCATAGTCAGCTGCAGGAGGCATTGAGAGTTCTCCCACCTGCATAGCCATCTTGCATGACTCACCATCAGTGGCCTCTTCCTCTCTTTCAGGTGTTTGTCCGGAAGCTCCGGAAGGCCTATGGGAAGAGCGAGTGGAACACAGTGGAGCGTCTGAAGGACAATAAGCCCAACTACAAACTTGACCATATCATCAAGGAGCGGTGAGTCGGTTGCCCCTCTCTCTTTGTTCACTGCGGGGCCCTGTCCTAGCACCACGGACACATTAGGGGACAAGACCTAGGCCTTGTTCAAATGCTTGCATCCTTTTGGGGGAGGCAGACGGAAAGAAAAACATGATTATAATGATTGCAAATTGTAATTAGAGCCTGGCCTTAGAGCTAGACCTTGGTGTTCTCACCTCGGTACCATGACGCATGTAAACAATGTGAAGAGAATAGGGGAGGTTTGTCAGTTACAGGATTGTCAGGGGGGTCTCTCTGAGGGGAGATGTTTGAGCCAGCCAGGGGAAGCTCATTTCAAGTGCAAAGGCCCTGTGGTGGAAGAGAGCCAGAGCTCTGGGGCTGTGCATAGGCCCATGGTGAAACCTGGGAGACATGGCTAGTCACCTTTGATCTGAACTATTCCTTGCCTGGCCTTCTCTTCATCCTCATTCATTGACTGAATCAGAGATTGTTAACCAGTGGTGGTTTTGCCCCTCCAGGGGACACTTGGTAATGTCCAGAGATAATTTTGGTTATCTTGACTTGGATGGAGGGGATGCTGTTGGTATCTGGTTGGTAGAGGCCAGGCATGCTGCCAAACACCCTGCAGTGCACAGAGTAGTCTCCCACAGCATGGAACAGTTTGACCCAAAGTGTCAGCAGTGGTAACTTTCAGACACCCTGGGCTAGTGAAGGTCTATCCTCCCTTAGAGGCTGATGGCCCAGGAACCCTTTGCTCCAGCATGGATGGGGTTGGCTTCATTTAGCCCAGCTGTGGGCTGGCAGAGGAAGAGCCCTGGCTTAGGAGCTAGACAGCTGGTTTTCTCACCCCAGCTCTATTGCTCACAAACTGGGTGACCAGAGGACAATTCCTGCTCTGAGCAAGTCCCCAACTCTAACAGATGATGACAATTCCTGTCCTACCTGTGACACACAGTTGTTATGGGAAACACATGAAAAGAGGGCACAAGAAGAAAGCAAGTGCCTGGATTTATATACCAGTTGACTGTGTGGTTGTGATGTTCCCATTCCACTTCACTCCTGCCTTCTTAGCCAGAGCCAAAGCTCAAGAGAGAAAAGCAAGTGGCTCCCAAATGGCTGGTACTATTTCTACAAAGGGCCTGGGTACCTGGTTTTGTCTGTGAGGTGGAGAGTTAGGAAACTACAAAGCACCAAAGGGGGCCAATTGAGGTTCCCACCTCTGTACCAGGAAACCAGACAATTCTTCTGCTGTTTCATGAGGGGTTCCTACAGGCCTTTCTCCCATATTGGCCTGGGTTTGAAGACCCGGCAGACCTCTCCTGACTCATTGCTGTGAGTGATGCCACCTGGGGCTGGAAGGACCTTAATGATGTCCAGGCTTATGGCTTTCAGAGTCCTTTCTGAAGTAGCAGAACCTTTTCTTCAAAAGGAAGCTCCTTGGAAGGCAATTTGGATGCCAGAGGCTCTGGCAGCTTCTGGCTGTAGGAAGAGTAGGCTTGAAGCCTTTTCTGTCCACATGGGCTCAAGGCGTTTCTAGGGAGCTGCAAGAGCCCAGTTTTCAACCACAGCCCAGTTTGACGGTCGTTTTCCAGATGACACTGGGCTGGGCGATGCCAAGTGACCTGCCCAGGGTCACAGCTTAGAACAGGACTGGAATCTAGGTGTCATTCCTCGTGGCTCAGTGTCTTTCCATGACCCACGCATCTGTCCCTCAGCCGGGCAGCCACACAGTGGGTCCTCCCATCATCAAGGTGGCTCATTCTCGTCAGCTTCCTCGTTTACCACAGGATTCCTGGAAACACATTCTTGCTTTGGCTCTTCCTAGCCCAGGATCCAATTCTCTGTATCTAGTTGGTTCTGCTCATTAGACAGAGGTTCTGGGTGACAAGAGACAAGACATAACCCACACTGGTGACCTATGGCCAGACCTAGTCATAAGTGTTACTGATGGAGAGCAGCCCCTACCCCCATCTCTGCTCACAACTTCATGTTGTTCTATGTTCTGTCTTGACCCTCCCAGAAGATTTTCTTTGATCTAAAGATTCCACCTTCAAAAAGAGGCAGAAAGCCACTGATTATATCCACCCTCACGTACCCCAAAATACAGAAGTGGATCGAGGCTGGGTCTTTGGTGAGCAGTGGGTATCTTGAAGACCCTGTCAGGATTTCTCTGCTCCTCAGAGATAAATGGACACATTTGGTTAAGTGGTTCCTGCCAGGGCTGTGGCCGGCTGTGGGGAAGCTGCTACTGCCAGGTCAGAAGGTGGCAGTGGCAAGGCCAGGGGTGGGGCAAGGAGGGCGGGGCCTCCAGCATCAGGCTGAACAAGCCTGAGCACTGCCCTCCTGCCACACAGGTACCCCACATTCATCGACGCTCTGCGGGACCTCGACGATGCCCTCTCCATGTGCTTCCTCTTTTCCACCTTCCCACGGACCGGTAAGTGCCACGTGCTGACCATTCAGCTGTGCCGCCGGCTCACCGTGGAGTTCCTGCACTACGTCATTGCTGCCCGAGCCCTGCGCAAGGTGAGCCTAGGACTGCCCAGCAGGCGTCCCACCCTGCCCCTTCTCCTGCCACCCCGCGGTCTTCATCATGCTGTTTGTCCCCCACCCCAGGTCTTCCTGTCCATCAAAGGCATTTACTACCAGGCCGAAGTGCTGGGGCAGCCCATTGTGTGGATCACTCCCTATGTGTTCTCCCATGACGTGAGTGTGCCTGTTTGGGGGCTCAGGGAGTTTTCTTGGCTCCTAGACAGAGAGAAGGGCTTGGAGGAGGGAGGATCTTGCTGTCCTGTAGAATCCAGCGTATGCTGGGTTCCTGATGGTGACTGGCAGTGGGTGGGGAGTGTGATAACACAGCATCAACAGTAAGAATGGGACACGGCTGCAGCACTGCCAGCTGTGTGCCCTGGACTTGCTCCTTGCTCCTCTCTGCACCTCTGTTAACAGAGTCTAAGCCCTGTCACAAGGATTTAAGGAAAAAACCCTGAACAGTATCTAGTACTTGGCCCTTTGGGGTGCTGAATGAACAACGAGAGCAGCTCTCAGGGGCCATGCCTGCTGGCACATCTGCCCTGCCCTTGGGCCCACTGGGGTTCTCATTCCCATTCTGCCGCTAGCAGCTGCCAGGCCTTGGCCAGGCTGCCTTGCCTGACTCCCCTGCTTCCTCCCCTGCCCTGTCTACCCCATGGAGCTGAGGACTAGGTGGTACTGGGGATGGGTGAGCCCAGAAGTAGTGTTTAGCTTGTGGTGTTACTTCTCATTTACCTCCTTTTAAATCTTGGGAATTGTTGGCAGGGACCCGCTGAGAGAAACCCTATCTTGCCTCCTTATGGAGTTACCATTAGCCTCTAGTCCTCTAGAAGGACTCCCTGCCTGACTCTTCATGCTGTGGGCCTGCATTTGGCCCAACTTCCTGCTTGTTGACTGAACGGGAACTGGCACCTTCAGCGGAGAGCCAATTCTGCTAGCCTGGCTGAACAGTGGGTTTACTGCCCAGGTCATTGGGTGCTCCAGGGAGAGCCAGGGCTCTGGGCCCCCTAGGTTGCTCCCCATGACCCCAGGCTGGTGGGGTGTGAAAGGCAGGCTTGGTCCTCAGCACTCTGGATTCCTACTCCCTGGGGCAGGCGTGAGAGCCTCTGGTTCTTCCCTCTTTCTGTTGCCAACCCTCCTCCTCTTTCCTTCCTGCTTTCTTCTCTGGCCCTCCCTGTCCTTCCTGCTCTCTGATGTCCCACCCCCATGCTATGTCCTCCTGGGTGGTGAACAGGGCCCTATGGAGGGCCAGCCTTCATACAGCTGGCCCTGGGGATGGGGAACAGGCTGTCCATTCCTCCTCCTCTGGCCGGTCACTGCCACCACTTCCTCTCAACAGAGGGTGAAGGATAGAGGATTGGTACTAGGTTGTAGCAGAGGCCCTGGTGTGCCCCTCCTCTGAGCAGCCAGTGTTGGGCTCTCACATCAGTGGGACCCAGGCCAGTAGTGGGGACAGGGGGCACCCTGCCTAGTACTATGCTGTGGGAAATGGGATTGGTGCTCAGATGTGCCCATCAGGGACCTTCGCAGATTCTCATGAAAGGACGGAGGTGTGAGTAGGAAACGGGCAGGGCACCTCCTGGCCCCTGAGGCCCCACAGCACAGTTCACTTCCTAGCAGCAGAATAAAGAAACAGCTTGGAGTTACGGACATGCCCAGCATGGTGATCATTTTGGATTTTGACATTGCTCAGAGCATGTTGCCATGTCCCAGGAGTCAGCAGAGCTGGCTTGGTCTCCTTGGTTTTAGCGGGTAATACCACTCAGCTGAGATCCTTCTGTCTGGGTCTCAGATCTTTGGCTCATTTTGTTTTATTAACTCCTCAAGGGCTAAGATGAGCCCTTCCATGTCCTCTGCTTGCTGAGGTGGCTGCTCATGAGGGTGGCTCTGTGCCTTTGCCCCAAGCAAGTAGGTTGTCTGCCTACCATTTCCCAAGAGCTCCTTGGAGGCTATGCCAGGCCAGTTGCCTGGGCCTATCCTGGGCCCTTAAGTTGTGCCCCTGGAGCTAGCTGAATTCTGACTGTCCATCCCAAGACTTGCTGGGGTGTGAACAGGCTGAGTCTTGGGCATCTGCTGCCCCCAACCAGGCCTGACCTTCCCCAAGTACCTTAGTTACCCAAGGTTTTGGCAGCCCCTTTGGGCTGGTGATAGGCTGTGAGAAGGCTGTCCTCCTGGTGCTTACAGGCCAGCCCAGGAGCAGACATTAAGCAAAGGTTGTGGGGTGGGTAATGGAGAAGGCAGAAACTGACCAATCAGGTAAAGTGGTTTCTCTACGGACTTGAAGGAAGAGGGGAGAGCTGGCGCAGGGGAAGGAATGACAACTAGTCCTGGGACTAGTGGGGGCCGTAGGACAGCTTTCTTCTTCCCACTCCTGGCTTTCCTGTTAAGGTATGAGAGTCCGGCACTAGCCTCCAGGAGACCCCTAACTCTCAGGACTTCATCTAGAGCCTCACTTGTGCCCATAACACCCCAGGTGGATATGCCATGCTGCCCCTTCCCCAGAACTCCAAGGGCAGGGCCGTTCTCAAGGAGCATTGGGTGCTTGGGTAGGACACCCACCCCCATTTGGGTTGTCCATCCCTCCTTTGCCCCATTCCTGCACCCACATTGCTGATGTACCTTCTGTGCCCCCCAGCACCCGACAGATGTGGACTACAGGGTCATGGCCACCTTCACCGAGTTCTACACCACCCTGCTGGGCTTTGTCAACTTCCGCCTCTATCAGTCGCTCAACCTCCACTACCCGCCCAAGGTAGGGTCTCAGCCCAGCACCTTCTGCTCATGGCACAGTGACCACAGCCCTTCTCTCTTCACACAGAGGTGAGGGACTGTGGGGGTCCTCTTCCCTCTGACCCTCCCCTTGCCTCTCAGCTCGAAGGTCAGGCCCAAGCAGAGGCGAAGGCCAGTGAGGACACCTACGCGCTGGACTCCGAGAGCTCTGTAGAGGTGAGGGGCCATCAGGAGTGGCAGCCCTGCATCTTCCTGAGAGGGTAGTCCCTGTCCCCAACACCTCTGGGGGTCTGGCCCAGGGTGGGGGTGGTTGTGGCTAGGTAGGTGGTCTCAGGGCTTGCCCTTAGAACCTAAGCCCACTGATGACCCAGAATTGTTGCTGCTGCCCCTAACCACATGCCCAGACGAGGTCCCCACCTGCAAGCTGCTGCCCTGCAGCCCTTCTTCTCCCCTGTAGAAACTGGCAGCCCTCAGTGCCAGCCTGGCACGCGTGATGGTGCCTGCTGCAGAGGAGGAAGCCGAGGTGGATGAGTTTCCTGCCGATGGGGTGAGCACTGCACTACCTTCCAGAAGTGGGGTGGGAGAAGCCGTGGGTATCTAGAGGATCTGGGATATAGAGGGAAGTGGGGGTGGGGCAGTCCTGATGGTACGAGGCCTGGTCCCTTTCTCGACAGGAGATGGCAGCACAGGAGGAGGGCCGCAGGAAGGAGCTGGAGGCACAGGAAAAACACAAGAAGCTTTTTGAGGGCCTGAAGTTCTTTCTGAACCGCGAAGTGCCCCGTGAGGCACTGGCCTTCATCATCAGGTAGGGAGGCTCAAGCGCTGGCTGGCAGCACTGGCTGTGCCACACTTTGGTGTGGGCACTCCCCTGGCTGCCCATCAGTGACATCAGGATGGCATCAGTTTCCACTTCCTACAAAACAGTGTGTGGAAGGTGCTTGACATGGCACCAAGCATTTAGGAAGTTCTCAACAGAGGCAAAACTGTCACTTTGTCACCAGCTTAGGATGGAAGGCTGGGCAGAGGGTCCATGCTGGGCCAGGACTGGAGGTGGCACAGATGGGAAGATCCTGGGGTGAGGAGGGGGCAGCAGAATCCTAGGAGGATGAGTTTGTGGGTTGGGCAGGCAGCTCATGCCTGGGTACCCATGTGGGCTCTCCATGTACCTGTAGGAGTTTTGGAGGGGATGTGTCCTGGGACAAGTCTTTGTGCATTGGAGCCACCTATGACGTCACAGACTCCTGCATCACCCACCAGATTGTCGACCGTCCTGGGCAGCAGACTTCTGTCATTGGCAGGTAGACCCCCAAGGCCTGGATTTCTGGGTATAGCAGTGTGTCTCAAAGGCCCCTGTAATACAGTGGGATCTTGAGTTGCCCTCTATGACCCATCTTTGCCTGCCACTCTGCACCAGGTACTACGTGCAGCCCCAGTGGGTGTTTGACTCTGTGAACGCCCGGCTCCTCCTCCCTGTGGCAGAGTACTTTCCTGGAGTGCAGCTGCCCCCACACCTTTCGCCTTTCGTGTCAGAGAAGGAAGGAGATTACATCCCACCCGAGAAATTGAAGCTGCTGGCTCTGCAACGGGGAGAGGACCCAGGTGAGTGGGAGGGGGCCAGGCCAGGTGGCAGGGTGGACAGGCTCCTCTGGCCTTGCCTTGGCCCTTGGGCCTGAGCTGGCTATTCCTCTTGGCTGCAAAGGTGGCAAGCTCCAGCAAGCAAGACAGTAGGTGCAAAAGGCCCTTTGAGTGAGGCTTAGGGGCATCTGCATCCCATAGTTGGATATTATTTGACATTCAGAGAAACTGAGCAGAAGAATGGTCTTGAGTTGTCATCAGAGTTCACACCGAAGACCACAGAGCTCAGGAGTGGGGACCTTAGAGTTTTCTCTGAAGGCAGCTGGGCTGTGGGAAGGTGGCATAAGGGACCGTGGGTGGGACTCCCTTGACCTGTCTTTGGAATATCCCCAAGATGGCAGGGTCAGAGAGGATGGGACCCGGGCCTGTTCATGCTCTGTTAGGGAGACAGCAGGCTCCCAGGGCACTCAGAAGTCATTGGCTATCTGTAGGAAATTTGAATGAGTCGGAAGATGAGGAGGAGGAGGAAGACAATGAAGATGATGGTGATAAAGGGGAAGAAAATGAAGAGGAAGATGAGGAGGCAGAGGCTGGTTCAGAAAGGGAAGAAGAGGCCCGACTGGCAGTGCTGGAGGAGCAGAGGATGGAGGAGAAGGTACCGGGGAGCTGGGCTGGGGGTGCAGCCTGAGGAGGAGCCTCACTGGCCTGCCCTAGCCCAGAAGGGCAGGAGCCAGGGGACCTGTCCTTACGGCCCTCTACCCGTGTACCCAGAAGCCCAGGGTGATGGCGGGCACCGTGAAGCTGGAGGACAAGCAGCGACTGGCCCAGGAGGAGGAGAGTGAGGCCAAGCGCCTGGCCATCATGATGATGAAGAAGCGGGAGAAGTACCTGTACCAGAAGATCATGTTTGGCAAAAGGCGCAAAATCCGTGAGGTGAGTCCCTGCCACCCACATGCGATCCAGGTGTGGCCACTGACTGGGCTGCACAGGTGAATTTGGGCTGGCCGGCTTTCCTCCAGGTAGACTCTGAGGGTCTCCTAGCCTTTTCCTGAGCTTTCCTGCCCAGCCTCGATGGCCTCCACCCAGTCTGGTTCAGGCATCTCAGGACTGCCAGCTACGGCCTGGGCTTTCCTTGGGACCTTAGGCCCCATTCTTCACCCAGCTGTGCCTGATTGTGCTGGAATCTAAGAACAGAGCTCATCCCAGCAGACACAGGAGCTGTGGAAGGCTTTGTTAAGCTTCTCTCTACTTCATTTTTTCCTTATTCACAAAGCCACATGTGCTCATTGAAAAAGTAAAAAGTTGTGCACCTCAGAGCTCTGTAATGGGTGGTTGCAGAAGCAGCCCACTGTCCTGTTGTGTTTTCTCTTGTACATGTGATGTCACATTGTTTGCGGAGGGCCATGCTGTAATAGTGTTTCAAAGTATTATTTTTCATTTAACCATAACATGGACTTCTATGACATCATACCATACCTAGCCTGTCCCCTCCTATGAGATTCGATTGTTGTCCAGTTTCAGTCATTGTCTGAAAACTTCCTTAGCATGTTCCTGCCCACCTCCAAATGTTTCTGCAGGCTAACTTCTTAGAGGCATAAGTGCTACCATTTGAAACAGATACTCCAAATGGCCCTGGAGGGAGGGATCTTCCTGAGGCATCCCTCCCCACCAGCCTCCTGGTGAAGGATGGAAGGGCATCCAGCTTTCCCAAGTAGAGCAGGGAGTAGGGTAGTTGCTAAGGTTCGTTCCAGCTCTGGGAGCTTGGGATTATCTTAACTTGAGATTTATGGGACCGTAAAACTATAATAATCGTAAAGGTTGGTCAGGTGTGGCAGCTCATGCCTGCAGTCCCAGCACTTTGAGTGGCCAAGGTAGGAAGACTGCTTGAGCCCAGGAGTTCAAGACCAGCCTAGGAGTTGGTCGCTACAAAAAAATTAGCCTGGCATGGTGGCATGCACCTGTAGTCCCATCTACTTGGGAGGCAGAGGCACAAGAATCACCTGAACCCAGGAGGTCGAGGCTGTGGAGAGCTGTAAGTGTGCCGCTGCACTCCAGCCTGGACAGCAGAGTGAGAGCCCTATTAAAAAAAAAAAAATCAATAGATCAGCATTGTAAAGGCAAGGTTGGGGCATGTTTTCTCACCCTCAGATGGGTTAAGTAGATTTTTTTGCCCTTTGGAATTTGCCTGTGAGCTTTTCTGAACACTCTGATTTTAAGGGGTAGCCTTGAATATAAGGGAGATTCTACTCCCCGATACATTAATGCCCCTACTCCTGCCTGATCTCCCCCTTCCTCCTCACAGGCCAACAAGCTGGCAGAGAAGCGGAAAGTCCACGATGAAGCAGTACGCTCTGAGAAGAAAGCCAAGAAAGCAAGACCAGTGTGAGTGCTCGTGGCTCCTCACAGCTGAACCTGGCTCCCGGCAGCTGGATGTGGCAAAGACAAGCCAGAGGACCTAAGTTTGGTGGCAGACCGGAGTTGCTTCTGTTTCCACCCCCCTCCTTCTCCCAGCCGCCTCATGCTCTCTGGGCCCATGGGCAGCCCTGGCCTTCTTTGGATGGAGATCCCTGCTGGTGGCTGGGCAGAGAAGAGGCCTTTGTTTCCAGGCCGATTCTGTGCTCCTGGGAGCCAGTGACGCGGTATACAGGGGCCTGTCTAGCCCCTCACCTACCCCCCATTCATCCTGGCTTTCCACAGCTCCCTCCCACACAGACCTATGATCTCAGGGTGCTGTGATGGGGTGAGGTTAGGGGGAGCATTTGTTATTAAACGGCTGGACTTTTGCAGCCAATTGGATTCTGTATACATGAGCCTTCCTGCGGAAGAGAAGGGCCACCTAGTACTTTGTGCTGCAGGCTGGGCCAGCCCGGGTATTCCCCAAGATGAACCCGGGCATTGCTCAGAGCTCTGGATGCCCAGGGACCCCTCTGGATCCAGGGATGCCAGAACATAGTCACAGAGTTTCTGGGCTTAGGCTCCACAGCTGGTCTGCTCTTGGTTGACATTCCAGCCGAGGCACTTTCCCTCTGAACCTGCTTCCTCATGTGTAAATTATTGATAGGAATTCTAGAGTCTTTTTCACAGGGATGTGTTGAGCATTCAGTGATAACTGTATCTGCATACTCAGTGGTGTCAGGTGTGTAGTAAGTGCTTGGTAAATGCCAGCTGATTTTCATCACTTCCTGCTGGAGTCAACCGGAAAGATCCAAGCCAGAGCCTGAAGGATCTGTGGAGCCTGAGATGAGGTGTTGCCCTCACTTTCCCTTGTGGGCTGGTGGGCAGAACAGCCAAGTAACTGCCAGTGTTGACATTGCCAGCAGCTCGACTTGTGACCCTGTGGGGTCTTACAGCTTTCCACCTGACTTGGGCAGTGCCCTTGCTGAGGCCCAGGAGAACCTGCCCTTGTCTTGGGACTGTCAGGGCATAACAAAGCCAGGGCCAAAACCAGGAGTTCTGGCTGCTCACTCTGAGCCCCTCCCAGGAGAGCCTCCCCAGGGCACCCCTGGTAGCTGAGCGCTGTTCAGAGCTGGGCCAGGCTGACCCAGTGTGTGTTTGGAACTGGGCTCCACCTTCCCTGAAGGGCCTTGCCTTCCTGCCTGTGTAGGCACAGAAGGTTTTATCGGGCAGTGGCTATAGGCCCAACTGTGCAGGGGGAAGGCAAGAACTTGGGCAGGCTCTGCCTGGGGAGCAGAGAACCCAGGGCCCACCTCTCAGCTAGGCTCTGCCATGGTGGGAGGAGAGGGCTGTGTGCTGTGCCCACTCTAGCATGCACATAGGGTGTGGGGGTTCCTCCAGAGACAGGAACAGAGGGGTCAGGACCTCTGGAGCCAGAGCCTGAAGCCCCAGGGGAGGATTCAGCCCTGCCTGGATGCATGTGCATCCCAGGGCCATAAGGTTGGAGAGCAGGCCCATCAGATATGGAAAAATCCCTGGCAGCCATGCTGATATGGAATTTTCCCCATTCCAGAGTCGCCCAGTAATGGCGGGGGCAGTGGGGCTGTACCCCACAGGGTGGCCAGCTGGTTCTGTCCTATCCACAGCTGAAGCTGAGAATTCCTGGCTCTGGGCAGGTGTTTAGTCCTCATCCTTGGTCCTGTTCCACTAGGATGGAGAAAGCCCAAGGCCTGAAAAATAAGATAGCACCTGGGTGGGGCACCTGCCTTCTGGTTGCCCTGGTTATCCCTGATGGGCACCCCAGAGAGGTGAGGGTCAGCTGAGACCTCCAGGTGGCAGGATCACTTGGACCTAAATCTTGCCTGAGCTCCCTTCAAGGATCCTGGCACACCGCCCCCAACTCCCATGGGAAATATGTTGTTCCCCCGTTTGCCATGACTGGAGCAGGAGGCCATACCTTGCGCTGGATCCTGAGGGCCCCAGAGCCCAAGAGAAGTTAAGCAATCTAGTCGGCTGCCTCCTCTTTCCTAGAGCTCCGGCTCCCCTCCCTACCACACCACCAGGGCCCCGGCATCTTCGAGCCCCCTCCGGGGCTGGGGCTCGGCTGAGCCAAAGGGCCGGCGGCGGGACAATGGCCCCGTTGGCGCGTCCGAGACAAACGGGCCTTGTTGGGCCGGCGGCGGGGGCGCGGCGCTGCGCCCCGCGGGCTGAATGCGGCTTCTGTGCGTTTCAGGCGGGCGCGGAGGGGCCGGGACC